TAAAGGAGTATATGTTGGCCACAGCTTAATAAACTTAATAAACACATTTTCCCATTGCAGTGTTTTATAGTCATCCTCTCCACCCCACCAGTACTGTAACAGCCCAAATCCGACGGTGTGTCTGGTGGAGAGGCGTGTTTGTGTTCCCAGTTGAGGAACCAGTTGTTCTGGTGGTTGTCGGTCTGACCTTCTGTGAGGTCTGAGGCACCCTGGGGCCTTGTCACTCACCGTGAGCTCCTCAGGGTTCCAGGATATGAAGGGGCTTTGATTATCCTGTGTGCTGGTGCCCCTCAAATATCAGTCTCCAGAAGAGCAGACGTATAAATGCATGAACTCCACATGTACTAAGAAAAACAAGCTGTGAGCTGGTGCTGGGTTGGCTCTCTAAAAAAACGCCAGGTGTTGGAGGGCTGTGACAACACCCCGTTCTGAACTTGTAGAAGTGACATTTGACTTTCAGCCAGTCCTCCCCTCCCCACCTCCATGTGCCCCACGGTGCCTCCGGAGTCAGGTGTGGCTTGTTGAAACACACTTACTTCCTGGCAGTCGCTCAGCAGCACCCACTGCTGTGTCTGTGGGAGGGCAGCTGTATTTCACGTGTGTTTCCTCCTGTGGGGCCCACCTCATTCTCATGCCACGGAGCCTGTTCTCGTGTAGGGCAGCCCCCTGCTGGACGGGTGGGAGTCGGCCTGCTGCTGAGGGAGAGAAGCACCTGGGTCAACCTCCTTATTCTACGAATGAGGCAGAGATGCCTCCCACAGTCGCTGCAGAGCAGAACGGGCGTAGGCCCCTCCTGGCACTCCCTGCTCCAGGGGCTTCGTTCGTGTGTACGTCAAAGCAAGAGTGACCTTTCTTCTACTTTGCAGGTTTTGGCTCATCTACTGATGTACTTGAGAGTAAAAATTTATAGTTCTTAATATACATCTGACTTTAATTTTCCTAATTATTCTGTTGAGTAGGGCTTGTATGTATCATAATACCTCAAAAGCTGATGTAAAATATTATTTCCTTTTGGAATATTTCAAAAACAAGTGAAGACTGGCCACTGTAGTAAAGTCACAATGATACCTTCATAGACAGATCTGTGTACCTGTTTCCTCAGGAGAGGGGTGTCCATGCTCTTGTGGCCCTGCTTTTAGGGAATGCTCCCTCTCTGTGAACATCGTGGTCTGTTCTTGAGACATAGAAACATTATTTTGTAGGAAGCTGCATTTTGTGGTGGTGCCAGAAAAGCACTCTGCATTAGTGTTTCATGGTCCAGCATTTTCCACATCATATATTTTTTTTCTTAGCCATGAAATTTTGGCAGATTGTTATGCAAAACAGTTTTGTGTCTCTGTGTGACTGGGAAGACAGCTGTTCATCCTAATGAGGAGGCTAGCATTACAGTATTTCTGTTGATTGAGATCCACGGAGGGAGCAGAGTGTTCCAGATCAGGCAGTGGTGTGCAGTGAGAAGGCGCCTCACTGTCAGCTGGAAGTCCATGCTCGGCTGCTCTCCACGACAAGATAAATGAGTTTTGCTGGAGTTTGGCAGAGTCTGAAGCTTTTCCAGTGAGCGGTTGTAGCTTACCAGCCTCCCCATGGGACCCATGGTCTAAGGGTGCCTTTAAAACGACTGCCTCTTTGCCAGTTTTTTCTTTTGATATCCTACAATACCTGTCAAGATTGTGATTTATTAAAAACCTAATGTCTTTCAGCATTTCATTAACATAGGGTTAGACGATCTTTTGTTAAGGCTTTTCTTTCATTAATTTAGCAGAATGTTAACTGAAATTCAACTTGGCCAAAACCTCCTGAAGTGGGCATCTCTGCCTTCTGCCTTTCAAAGTTCTACCAGCAGTTGAAGTTCTTTGAGCCTTATTGTAACCTTTGCTCTTAAGGAATAGCAACACTTAAATTATAGTCAAACCTTTATACTGTTCTTTATTTTTTTACATAAAGAATTCAGGAGGGTCATTGGGTGGATTTTACATATTTGGCCCTCTCTACACATTTCTCCTGGCATCATCTGTGACTGGGTGCAAGATGGTGCTTTTGTGTCCCTCCAGGTGTAGGGCAGTGGCTTCCAACGGGGCGGCTTTGACCCTGGAGACACTGCTGGTTGTCACACCTGGGAGGGGCTCACCCCAGATCTGATATGTAGAGGGAGAGGCTGCTACACCCTGTTGTGTGCAGGATGCCCACCCAGAGGAGGTCCCCCAGGTGTCAGCTGTGAGCTGGGCACTTGTGAGTGTGGGCTGTGGAGAGGATTATAGCTCAGGAGGCAGAGGGGCTGTGTGAAGTCATTGTCCACCTCACATTGCTCCTGATCGTGTTCCTGTGGCCTCAGTGCATGTCAGATGTTGTTGTCAAGCATTGTTGAAACTCTTTGATTCTTAGCATCTTTGCAATGCTCTGATGTAGTATTTTTTAAAACTTTGTATTAATGCAGTGGAGCTTAGACTCAATTAGAACTTCATTGTGTCCATTTAAATTAAGAGGGTTTCTATACTGGGGCATGGTGCCTGGATAGCATGTCTCCTCAGGAGTCTGGGTGGAACATGGAGTAACATCTCGCAGAACAGCATCAGTGACAGCAACAACTGGTAGTTACACTGGAATTGCTAAATTTCAAGCAGTCGAAGGGCCTGAGCCCATTTGGGGTGGATATGTGTAAATTGAGGATCTGGAGACCAAGCTTTAGTCCCTGAGAATTAGTGACTTGTGAAGATAAAAGGACACCTTACTTTACTGATGGGTGGAAGTTCACATGCTGGCATCTTGTAGGTGACTTAGCTGCTTCAGTGATCACTGAGATGTGCTTTAAGCCTCTGCACAGAGTGACCGACCTGTTTTTGTGGTCATGGAGACAGTGGCAGGGGTGAGGCCCATGTCTCTTTGAGAAGCTACTGCTCTGACATGTATGGGTCTGCTGACTGGCCTGAGGTCAGGTGCTGTCTTCCTGGGTGGACTACTGGTGGGAGACTCGTTGTTAACACATGGACTGAAATGGACATGAGGCACCGTACTCAGCAGGAAGCAAGTCCTGTTCAGGCCCGTTTAGGAGACAGCAATAAAGTGGGAACTCATGTGCACATAATGAAAATCCAACATACTTTAGGAATTCCTCCATGGCACTTGGATCATGTTTTAAAGGATATGTATGTAAGTAAGGTTTCTCAGTCTTTAATTCACTGGAAAATTAAGGTTTTTATCACATTCTTTTTACTGAACTTTGCTAGTGAACAGAGGTGACTGAATTTAGTCTTTTCTTCTTCAAATGTCATTTTATTACTTTAGTCCTAAATATCTTCTAAAAAGTGGCAAGTTTCCTTTGATTGAGAGGGAGGTTAGTATTGCTGGTTAACTACAGCTGCCTCTGGGATGACCTCAGCTGATGGAGAGACATGGTTTTTTCTGAAGGTTTTATTGGGTTTCTTCAAAGATTATCAGTGCAGCTCTAGTGATGAGATTGCCCCTTGTTTATACTTTTAATCCAATTTCACCATTAGAATATTTAATATACGTAACACCGTATCAGACACCATGTATTTCCTACCTTTCAAGAGTACAGTTTATGAAATTGTTTAATTAACAAATTAGATGAAACCTTTTTTTTGTCTTCTCTGTTTCTGTAGCACTTCTGCTCTTTAGCATATGGTCCTTGCGTCTCCCCCTCTTACCATCTTACATCCTCCTCGTCCCATGAGCCCTTTACCCCATGCTCACATGCTTCAGATCATTTATGTTAGAAAGAAAATTACTAATTATTTTCTTGGATTATACAAACAAGTTCCAAGAGAGTGGTTCTGATGTTGAGTTTTTCTTCTCAAACTATTTTTTAAAAAATTGTGGTTAAATATACATAACAAAATTTACCATTGTAGCCATTTTTAAGTGTACAATTCAGTGGCATTAAGTACATTCACAGTGTTGTGCAACTATCACCACTATTTCCAGAACTTTTTCATTGTCCCAAACAGAAACTCTGTCCCCATGAAACTCCCCATTCCCACCTTCTCCCAGACCCTGGAAACCTCTTTTCTGCTTTCTGTCTCTAAATTTGCCTATTCCAGGGACCTCATATAAGTGGGATCCTTCTGTGTTTTCAAGGTTCATCCATGTTGTAGCATGTGTTAGAATTTTCTTCCTTTTTGTGGCTAAATGATATTTCATTGTTTGTATACACCACATTAAAAATCTAAACATTGATGGACATGTGGGTTGTTTCTACCAAGGCTGTTGTCAGTAATGCTGCTATGAACACTGGTGTTACAGATACCTGTTTGACCTGTCTTCAGTTATTTGGATATGTAGCTAGGAGTGGAATTTTTGAATCCTGTGGTGATTCTGTGTCTGATTGTTTGAGGAATTGACACACGGTTTTTCATAGAGGCCGCACTGTTTCACATTCCCACCAGCAGTGCACAGGGTTCTGATTTCTCTTACTGTGGTTTTGATTTGCATTTACCTAATGACTAGTGATGTTGAACATCTTTTCATGTGTTTATTGGCCATATGTGTATCTTCTTTGTAAAAATGTTTGTTGAAGACCTTTGCCCATTTTTGAATTGTTGAGTAGTCAGAGTAAGATTTTCTTTGACTCCTATGTTCTGATTAAATTGATTGAGATTTGCAGTTGGAATGGAATTTTAGAAAATTCTCTGCTATCAAGACCTTAATAAATAGAAATTTTGGCTGTTTCTATGTAATCCATATTTTTCTGGTAACTTCTCTCTGTCATTGACTAGATGGTAGAATAGAGTAGAACGGACTGTATTTTTGTAATCTGAGAAGAAATTGGGTGTCCTTATTTTGCTCACATGGAGAGGATTGGAGAGGCAGGAGCAATGTGCACAGCAGACGGCCACTGTGAGCCTGCATGTCTCTGGCCTCCCTCCACCCCTGTACTATCTCTGGAAGCAGGATTGTGTGTTCAGTGTGCAGTGTGGGGGGACACGTAGTTGATTCCTGCATCTGTATCATTGAGGTGTCTGATCCACCCCCTTTACTTGTAGCACTGTGACCTCTGCTGTGTTCACCGTGGGGGACAATGTTGTTTCGGGCAGCGACGACCGCACAGTGAAAGTGTGGGACTTAAAAAATATGAGATCCCCAATTGCAACTATTCGCACAGACTCTGCCATTAACAGGTAAAGTAAAGCTTTTCATTTCATAAGATGCTTGATGTTAAGGGGTTGATTGTGATTTAATGTCTTGTTAATACAGATTTAGTTTTTTTTCCCCCCCTTTTTTTTTTGTCTTTTTTACTGGCCGGTAACGGGATCACAACCCTTGGTGTCGCGCCCGTACCGGGGACTGGCAACGGGATCGCAACCCTCGGTGTTGCGCC